TACCCATCCCTCATATGATCTGGAAAGGCAGAAGTCATTATATTGGAGTTGATCTTCAGTGTGGCCTTCTCTATTCAGTGTGGTCAACTGGGAGTGACCTGGGATTTATACAGTAGATCACAATGTGTCATCAGCTATTTTGGAGATGATCCCTGAGGCAGTGTGTTGCAGCTGGGGCCTTACACATGTAAATAGTTTTGCAGATATAGAGATGGTGTTTCTTCTTATAGTGCTTTCAAAGACCTGCAACCTTATCCTGTTCTATTGTTGAATTATTATTAAAAAATTTTGATCAAATGAAAACAGACCACATAAAATTAAGGTAAAATACAACATTTTGGGTGTCATCAATACAGGAAATTGAGTTGCAGACATGCACAGATTAATGGCATTGCTGTCAAATAAGTAGTGGATTGACTTGCAAACATAAGAAGATAGAGACAAGAACAGCTGAACCTCAGCCCACTGATAGAAACAGGTGCTATAACTATTAAGTTTACTAGCTAGGTGAGGGTATACAACGTACATAATAAAATGTCACAAATTTTGTTCCCCACTTTTCGTATTTTTTTTAGAATATACAGTCACAAAATACCAGTGTTAACGGAGACTATACTATCAGGAGACATACCACAGCTATATTATGTTTTCAGACTCTAAACTCATGACAGGTGATTCATCATCTCCAATACAGAGAAGGCCTGTGGGGAACCCAGTAGAACAGAAGGAAAAAACAAAGAAAACTGAGAAAGGGAGGGGAAGTATGGAGGAGGAGGAGGAAAAAAGGAAGAATAGGAAGCTTCGGGGAAAAACTAAAAGGGGTAGGTACAAAAGGGCCACGGTTAAAGGGAACAACACACATACAGCAGTCCCAGTCTCCATCAATGAATCCAAACCCCGTCTGCCAAAGGAAACAAATTTTTAGCTGTCATCAGAACAGGAATTAACTTTAAACACAAGGCCTGCGGGTCAAATCCAGCCCTCCAGGCCATTTCATATAGTTCTCGCAGCTCTCCTGCAGCTCTGTCACCCCCATCGTTTCTGCCTCCACCTTATCTCAATAGTCAGCAGCAGAGAGGAGGACAACACTATTCCACCAGATCCTGCATCCCCAGCCCCCAACTTCTTCTAGGCAGAAGCAACAGAAGGTAAGGGGTGTGCACTATGATGTAAAGGAGGGTGAGGGACTCTTGACTTTAGATTCCACAATAATGCTAATGTGGTCAGTGATGAAACTGAGTTTGCCAACCCTGGAGTAGAAGAATTCCGGTCAACATTTTTCATTGTAAGAATATTGTAAGAACTTTTGCTCATTTTTTAAATCATTGGTAGTGTCAAATCGGCATTCGTTTTCAGTCACAGTGACAAGAAAATTCAAAGAATGTACAAATTTCTAACAGTGTATGTGGTTTTTTGTTCAGTAAAGTCCATTTATTTCAAAATCGCATGTTAAAAGCTAATGCAATCTTGAATTACTTTCAAATAATATTCAATACTGAGAATTTTGATATGAATTTTTCTAATAATTTTTGAATGATTTTTCATTTTCAGATTTCTACTAGTGTATAACAGCTTAAGTCTTCCATTGCTTCTCACTACCTTTAGACCTCTATCTGTAAGACAGGAAGTGAAGGGAATTCCACAAGCCTCATCTGTCCTACAAACTTCTAGCTGAAAAGAATCTCTGGGATTTGTAACTGCTTAAAAGAGAAGTCTGGACTTTTTTTTCCCCCAGTTATACTTACCTAGGTGGATGCTGCATCAGTCCAATACTGCATATGTCCCCTGCTGGCTCAAAGTGTGAGAGCTGAGTGATCACATGACCACTGATCGCTGAGTTCTCATAGCCGCTCTGAGCAGAGAACAGTGACTGTCAGTCACTGGAGTGCTGGGCTGTGGAGTGGGAGGGAGCCGCTGGCTCAGGCTCTCTCAGCGGCTCGCTGAGAGGCTGACCCAGGTACCGCTCGCTCCAGACTCTGGTGTGCATCCCAACTTTAAAGTCAGAATCTTTCCCCAGCCTGGACCGGCTGAGTGTGACGTCAGCTGAAAGCAGGCTTCAGCCCGCTGTTGGCTGAAAAACAGGTTACAGGAGTGAAGAACGAACTGCACTCCTGTGATCCACAGGAGAAGTACAGCCAAAAGTGCTTCTCATTTAAGACTCCATTCACATGTGTGCGACTCCAAAATTGCACGCTTTCCAGTGCGACTTTTGAGTGCAACTTAAATGTGACTTTACACTCTCTGATACTCAAGTTGCATCAAAGTCACATCAAAATACTGCAGGGACCTTTTCAAAGTCCCTGCAACTTTAAGTTGCATAGATCCGAACTTGTCATGTGACTTTATGTGGCCAAAGTCTCCATTCACACAAGTGTGAATGGAGCCTAAGGCATACAAGGTTAATTTCTGTCTGTAGTTTAAAAGGTAAAAAATCTAAACTGCCAAGACAAAGAGACAAATACTTCTAACACTCCAGAGGGGGATCTGTGACTACCAATAGTCCTGATTAGCCATTATTTATAGGAGACTTCACAGACTAGTTTTCCCTAATGCAGTCCCCCCTCCTACCCTAAGCCCCCCATAGCAGCCTCATGGGCTGCCATGCGTATTGCTACCCCACTATTTTGAAAGATAACAGTTTGGAATCAAAAGGTGCTGGTTCATGCAAGCACTATGTAGACTGTGTCCCTGGTGATATCTATGCTCAGGATACAGAGATACAAGGTAGACCAACAGTTAGTGTTCTGAACTCGTATTTAGAACATAGCTCTTGGGTAGGCCAGATAAAAGAGCATTACATTAGTCCAATCTAGATGACACAAAAGCTTGCTTCAACTTCTCAGTGTCCGCAGAAAAAGGGATCACAGACCTTGGGAATGTTACATAAGTGATAAGGAGCCATTATTCAGACATTGGTAATGTGATAGTGAACTCTAAGATCCTTTTCGGAAAGGACTCTGGAGCCCCTAGCCTGTTCTTTTGGGCTTCAAAGTCTAAATATGCTATAATATAATTTTCTCTGTGCTGCATTTCCGATAAACTCCTCCGTGTTATACTTATTCTACTGCAAAAAAAAAACATCTAAGACATCCACAGGTTAATGTCATCACTGTCAAGATAGGTAATTGACTTGCAGTCATAAGATAATAGAGAAAAAAAAACAACTGAGCATCATCAGCCGACTGAAACTAACAGATGTTACACTTATTGATTGTACTAGCTGGGGGAAGGCTATATAAGTTAAATCATAAAAGACCTAAAATCAAGCCATGCTGGATTCCACAAGATATGATACAACCCTGTGAAACATGAATAACCAATGCAACGTGATATTTACAACTTAAATTTGACCCAACTTGGACTTTGCTACAAAGGCTGACTCAATTATGTGGCTGTTCAAGTAAGATCTTCTGGCCAGCTGTATCAAAGGCCGTACTGACATCTAAGAGAACCAGAAAGAAGAGCTGAGTTTCTTTTAACTCTAAAGTCATATAGCATTCTAACAATTGTGGTTTCAGTGCTGTGATGCATTCAAAATTTAGACAGAAATATTTGTTAAAGCAGAGTTCCACCTAAAAAAAAAAGAGTCAGCAGCTACAAAAACTGTAGCTGCTGACTTTTAAAATACAGTACAGCCACTTACCTGTCCCTCGGTCCAGCAGTGTCTTCACCACTGCTAGTTTCACTGGCCGTCTACTCTCCCTGGCACTGGCATCTTCAGTATGGGCACCGACTGTGATAGCTTGCGGCTTCGCAGCCAGGTGCCCATTGCACATGCGTGAGAAGCGGTGCACTTTGTGAATGTGTCCCAGAAGACTAGAGGGAGGGAGGACAACTTCTGCCTAGTCAATTGCAGTGGAAGTGGGTGCGGGTACCTGTCAAATTTGGATACCCGCTCCCCTCCCCCGCTCCCCAAAGGTGCCAATTAGAGATGAGCGAAGTATTCAAAAATTCGATTCGACTGATTCGGCGAATTCGTGGGAAAATTTCGATTCGAGTCGAATATATTCGCTGCGAATTTAACTTATAAAAGGGTGTTTCTAGGCTTCAGAGAGCCTTTATATTTAGTGCAGAACACTGTACCTTTAATTTAAATGCCCTTGGAGTCTGCTGGGGAAGAGAAATAATACTGACAGTCAGTATGACATGCAGATGAGTGCCGTCGATCTTAGAATTCACTCATTTGGGCAGTCACGGGGCCAAAACCAGAGTGTGGAGCCACAGTGTGGCGGTGGAGGCAGCAGCAATGGGAGGCCATACAGCACCCTATGACAAAAATGGAAACCACCAGCAGTGTGAGGAGACCTGAAAGTGGCACATGGCAGAGTGTGGCGATGGAGACAGCAGCAATGGGAGGCCGTACAGGGACCCATGACACACTCTGGACCTGGCAGCAGCAGCATGAGGAGGCGGTACAGGGGCCCATGACAGATTACGGGCCTGGCAGCAGCATGAGGAGTCGGTACGGGGGCCCATGGCAGATTTACGGGCGGGCCTGGCAGCAGCAATGGGAGGGGCCGTACAGGGACCCATGACACACTCTGGACCTGGCAGCAGCATGGGGAGGCGGGTACAGGGGCCCCATGACAGATTACGGGCCTGGCAGCAGCATGAGGAGTCGGTACGGGGGCCCATGACACACTCTGGACCTGGCAGCAGCATGAGGAGGCGGTACAGGGGCGCATGACAGATTACGAGCCTGGCAGCAGCAACTTGGACAGGAGGACGTTCAGCTTCTGCACCGTCGGGTGCGTGCTGCTACGCAAACTGTTGTCTCTTGGGAAACGGATTCCAAGAAAGACTGCTGACGGAATCCGTGAAGAGGAGTAGCAGGAGAAGGAGCATCTGAACGAGCGGAATATGCCAACAAGCGACACAACAGGGGCCCATGACAGATTATGGGCTGGCAGCAGCAGCATGAGGAGGTCGGTACGGGGGCCCATGGCAGATTAGGGGCCTGGCAGCAGCTATGGGAGGCCCGTAATCTGCCAGCACCCTATGACAAAAAATGGAACACACCAGCAGTGTGAGGAGACCTGAAAGTGGCACATGGCAGAGTGTATGTGGCGATGGAGACAGCAGCAATGGGAGGCCGTACAGGGACCCATGACAGACTCTGGACCTGGCAGCAGCATGAGGAGGCGGTTATAGGGGCCCATGGCAGATTAGGGGCCTGGCAGCAGCTATGGGAGGCCCGTAATCTGCCAGCACCCTATGTCAAAAAAATGGAACACACACAGCAGTGTGAGGAGACCTGAAAGTGGCACATGGCATGAGACACTGTGGACCTGGCAGCAGCATGAGGCCGGAGGCGGTACAGGGGCCCATGGCAGATTAGGGGCCTGGCAGCAGCTATGGGAGGGCCGTAATCTGCCAGCACCCTATATCAAAAAATTGAACACACCAGCAGTGTGTGAGGAGACCTGAAAGTGGCACATGGCAGAGTGTGGCGATGGAGACAGCAGCAATGGGAGGCCGTACAGGGACCCATGAGAGACTTGGATCTGGACCTGGCAGCAGCATGAGGAGGCGGTATAGGGGCCCATGGCAGATTAGGGGCCTGGCAGCAGCTATGGGAGGCCCGTAATCTGCCAGCACCCTATGTCAAAAAAATTAACACACACCAGCAGTGTGAGGAGGACCTGAAAGTGGCACATGGCATGGCGAGACAGCACAATGTGGAGCCTGGCAGCAGCATGAGGAGGCGGTACAGGGGCCCATGGCAGATTAAGGGGCCTGGCAGCAGCAAGTATGGGAGGCCCGTAATCTGCCAGCACCCTATGTCAAAAAATTCAACACACCAGCAGTGTGTGAGGAGACCTGAAAGTGGCACATGGCAGAGTGTGGCGATGGAGACAGCAGCAATGGGAGGCCGTACAGGGACCCATGACAGACTCTGGACCTGGCAGCAGCATGAGGAGGCGGTATATAGGGGCCTATGGCAGATTAGGGGCCTGGCAGCAGCTATGGGAGGCCCGTAATCTGCCAGCACCCTATGACAAAAAATGGAACACACCCAGCAGTGTGAGGAGACCTGAAAGTGGCACATGGCAGGGGCATGATTCATGGCGGATTTATCAGTTGTGTCAGGAAACTGGTGGTTTGAAATCCAGACTAATCCACGCCTGATTCATTTTCACAAACGTGAGTCTCTCCACACTTTGGGTGGACAGTCGTGTCCTCCGCGGAGTTACAATAACCTCCTGCCGCACTAAACACGCGCTCCGATGCCACGCTACTGGCCGGGCATGACAGCCTTTCAAGGGCAAATTCAGCTAGTTGGGGCCCAAAGCCAAAGGTCAAGTTTCGTTGCCCAGTAGTCAAGGGGGATTGTCTACCTCGGTTGGCAGGGTGCTGTCCAAGTAGGCCCAAGCCTGTTGTTTTGAGGTCCTGCTCCAGGTCCACCTGATGCTGCTGCTGCTGCGGCTGGTTGTTAGTAGTTTCCTCACTGCGCTGGTGAAGAAAGCTACTCATCATCGACTGCAGACTGAGGCAGCCGCTGCTGGTGGAGCTACCACTGCTCCTACCACCCCACCCCTCCCCCCTGCTGCCATGGCAGCGGAACGCGAGCGCACAGGGCCCACAGTGTCTGAGGATGGACGTTGGCGCACAAAGGCAGAGACCAACTGACTACATAGGTGGTTTTTATATAGTACGTTATTTTGGCCTCCCTCTCAGCAGGTGTGAAAAAGGCCACCATTTTTGAACGGTAGCGAGGGTCCAACAAGGTGGACAGCCAAAAGTCATCCCTCTGTCTGATGGTTATTATTCGGCTGTCGCTACGCAAGCAAACCGAGCATGCTGCTATGGGCCATTTTGTGCCAAGGAATGCGAGGGACTCTCCTGCCTCCATCTCCACAGCATACTGCCACGGTGCGTCTGGATCCTCTGTCTCCTCCTCCTCCTCCTCTACCAGATGCTCCTGCTCCTCCACTCCTGTCCGCTGAGTGGAAAAACCACCCATTTCACTCAATAATTCCTGAGCACAAATGTCCTCCTCTACCTCCTCCTCTTCTTCCTGTCCTGCCCCCACAGGGGTCATGTGGCGTTGAGATCTGTGCGCCACGTCTACCGCACCCTGACCAGCCATTGTTAACAGCATTTGTTCCAGGACGTGCAACAGAGGAATGACGTCGTTCATCCCATAGTCCTGGCGACTCACGAATAGCGTGGCCTCCTCAAAGGGCCTGAGCAAGCGGCAGGTGTCACGCATGAGCTGCCAATGGCTGACATCGAAGTTACACAGGGGAGTAGTACCTTTATCCGCTTGTAACATCAGGAAATCGGTGATGGCCTTTCGCTGTTCGTAAAGGCGGTCTAACATGTGTAGGGTTGAATTCCACCTTGTTGCAACGTCGCAGATCAGGCGATGCTGTGGAAATTCCGTTCTGCCGCTGCTGCAGCTCAAGGAGGGTGTGCTTTGCGGTGTAGGTTGGAATGGCTGAAATGCATGCAAAGTTTACGTGACATTTTAAAGGATGTCTTGCAGTGGGATGGTGGATTTTAGGAACCGCTTGACAACCAGATTGAACACGTGAGCCATGCATGGCGCATGGCACAACCTTCCTTGACGCAGAGCAGACACCATGTTCTTTCCGTTGTCGGTCAACATGGTTCCGATTTTGAGTTTGCGCGGAGACAGCCATCTGTCGATTTCTCTGTTCATTACACTGAGAAGTTCCTCCCCTGTGTGACTACGTTCGCCAAAGGCATACCAGGTGCAGCACAGCGTGACACCGTTGCGCCCTGCACATGTGATATGCCGGTCGGGTAATGGGACTTGGCACGGGGGGTGGCGGCTGAGGACACGGGAGGAAGAAGAGGTGGTAGAGGCGGACATCTTTGCTGGACCAAGGACGTGCAAACGTGGAGGGCAAAAAGCGGCGTGACCTGTCCAAGTTGCTGGTGCGGCTGTGTGCGGCACCACGTTCACCCAGTGGCCGTAAATGACATGTACTGTCCCTGACCGTAGTTACAGCTCCACACATCGGCGCTGCCGTGCACTTTGGCAGAGACCGACATGCTCAAAGACTGGCCCACCATCTCTTCTACATGTGAATGCAGGGCTGGCACTGCCTTTTTGGCGAAGAAATGACGGCTTGGCACTCTCCACCGCGGCCCCGCGGCGGCACACAAGCCATCATTTCTCGGAAAGGTGCTGAGTCCACCACTTGGAAAGGGAGGGACTGCAGCACCAGCAACTTGGACAGGAGGACGTTCAGCTTTTGCACCGTCGGGTGTGCGTGCTCGCAAACTGTTGTCTCTTGGAAACGGATTCCAAGAAAGACTGCTGACGGAATCCGTGAAGAGGAGTAGCAGGAGAAGGAGCATCTGAACGAGCGGAAGATGCCAACGAGCGACAACTCCCCTCAGCAGAGGTGTTGGAGCCTTGACTGGCTGATAGAGGGCGATTGACGTCGGGTGACGGAGCAAGTAACGGAGCGGGTGATGGAGGGTGATGGAGGGGGGCTGGCAGAACCGCCGTATCTTTATCACGGTTTTCCCAGGCCACCAAATGGCGAAGCTGCATATGCTGCCGCAAACGCTGTAGTCCCAACATGGGCCCCCTGGCCACGCTTGACTTTCTGGCCACATAGTCGACATACGGCTACGTTTTACTTCCTCGGGCGGCTTGACGAAAAAATTGCCACACCGCCGAGTAGGAAACTTTGCCCCCGATACTCCTCACTGGCTGACTGCTGCTTCCTCTCCGTGCACACCGGCACCACTACTGGCCGTGGTGGTAGGCTGCAGTGGAGCTGGTGCTCTACTCCGTGGCCGTTTGCCTCCACTGACACTGCTGCGACCCTGCTGCTGTCCTCCTGGGCAACCCACCGACTGTTTTGCTCGCTGCCAAGCTGCCACCCTCTTCTCCTGATGATGCGGAAGCAATAGCCTGATGACGACGAGGCTGCCAAGTGGGATCAGCCTCATCATCATCAATTAGGGTCTCCGCCTCACTACTAGCCCCCTCGGCTGCGTGTGGGTCAGGAGACAGACCTGTTCTCTAGACCGGCTACCGAGCCACTCTCCTCGCCACTACTTCTTCGCCTGGCTGCTGAAGAGGCGGATGTCTCCCCCCGTTCCTGACCGCCCTCTGTTAGCTCTTCCTCACTGTACAGTGGGGCTGAGCCCACAGCATGCGATACTTCGCTTGGTGAGGGGAACACCAAAGGACAGGGGCAGGTAGAGGACACGTGATTTCAGTGGGCTTGCTCCCGGGCCATGCCAACTAACGGTTGTGTCTGACGTACCCACCGACCGTTGGCTGTAGGTGTCAGAGGTGACCTGGGAAAGAGGAAGACGACCGAGCCAACCAATCGATGACGGCAGGGTTGTCGGTGGAGACACGACCGCTGGATGACACCGGGGAGCACTGGCCTCTGGCTGCGACTAGTGCTGCCTCGACCCCTTCCTCTGCTGCACGTCTGCTCGCTCCTAAAACATTGCCTCCTCTGCCACTCCTCTGCATTGTTGTCCTGACATACTCTTTAATTAAACGATTCTGTGTCCCTGAGTAACAATTCTGTGTCCCTGAGTAAAAATTCTGTGTCTGAATGAGTAACAATTCTGTGTCCCTCAGTAACAATTCTGTGTCCCTGAGTAACAATTCTGTGTCCCTCAGTAAACATTTCTGTGTCCCTCAGTAACAATTCTGTGTCTGTCCCTGAGTAACAATTCTGTGTCCCTCCTGAGTAACAATTCTGTGTCCCTGAGTAACAATTCTGTGTCCCTCTTAACAATTCTGTGTCCCTCAGTAAACAATTCTGTGTCCCTGAGTAGTAATTCTGTACTGTCAATTTTCTGTGTCTGTGTCCCTGAGTAACAATTCTGTGTGTCCCTCAGTAACAATTCTGTGTCGCCTCAGTAACAATTCTGTGTCCCTGAGTAACAATTCTGTGTCCTGTCCCTGAGTAAACAATTCTGTGTCCTGATGTAACAATTCTGTGTCCCTCAGTAACAATTCTGTGTCCCTGAGTAACAGTTCTGTGTCCCTGAGTAAACAATTCTGTGTCCCTGAGTAACAATTCTTGTCCCTCAGTAACAATTCTGTGTCCGCCCTGAGTAACAATTCTGTGTGTCTGTCCCTAAGTAACAATTCTGTGTCACTAAGTAACGTTTCTGTGGCCCTAAGTAAACGGTCTCTGTGGCCCTCAGTAACACTACCATTCTGTGTCCCCTAAGTAACGTTTTCTGTAGTCCTAAGTCCCTAAAAGTGTTTCTAACTCTTTTGTCGACACCGAGTGTGTCAACCCTATAGTGTATGAAGCACGACCGAGTAAAAGTGTCAGTGCTATTTCAGCGCTCCAACCTCGGGTCATTCTGCAAGCTGTGCAGCTTTGGATGGATAAGGCCCCTACTGTTTTCTGTATCTGGGTTTTAGGACATCAAGTGAACCAAAAGACATATTACCCGGACAACCAGGCTGTTTAGGTATGTGAGTCTGGGGGCGCACATATCCTGTATAATGTACCATACTCGTGGTATGTACCTAGCAATATGTTAGGTATTTATTATGCACAACAATCTTGTTACAGAAGTGGGTGTATTGAAAGGATAGCAGTTGGGTTGTGCGGGAGGTGTGGATGTGGTGGGTGGATTTGTTGAGGGTCACTGTGATGGTACAATCGTAGTTCACCATCTAGTCAAGTTAGTGTGTAACGAAGATTGGGAGGTTAGTGGTGGCGTGGTTTGTGATACCTAGGTAAGAGATGAACTAGTGTTTATGAAATTGTTACTGTTGATGCAAGGAAATTTGGTTGGTGTGAGTAGGGTTAGAAATCAATCACCACCTACAAATCGCTAAGAACAGAATATGCAGCTGGTGAGGGGCAGGAGTAAAAAAAAGCGTTTGGTAGTCCGATTGGTGCGTCCAATCCCTATGTGGTGAAAGGCACGCTATCCGCTCAAGCCTGCCCTAAGCGTATTCCCTTCGCTAGGGCGTATAATTACTGCCGACCTCTCACGGCGTATACGGTGACCAAATGCAATCTATATAAACCTCTTTTTACTTTAGTATCGTTTTCGTATATATGTGGCTAGTTCCCCCCCCGTTAAGCAGGCTATTGTATACCCTTGAGTTCTTGTCTAAGGATGGTCAGGCCGCTATTTAGTTAATATTTTCGACTGTAGTGCATTAACAGCAGCTATAGAAACGTTTGGTAACAAATGCAAGAAACATAATGGTCCCGAAAGGATTTTCATCGTTCAAGAAAGCAACGTCAGCAATAAATCTTCCCCATAACGAAGTTATGTCAACCTAGTGTGGGTACTCGTGAATCAGTGGCCCCAGTTGGTAGTCAATAGTGGATAGTCTAGACTCTGTGAATCCGTAGCCACATAGAGGTTGAGTATTCCAGTCTCTAGTGAGACAAAGGTCGTCCACGCCTATCTTTGTAGTCCTGGGTAGGACTAATTTTTGAGCATACGCATCCGGACTGGGTTATACTGTACACGGAACAGAAGTTATGGGCAACTACATCCTGGGTGCCCTAATTCATAGACTTACGCTCAGTTGGGCATGGATACTGTAGTTCTTTAACGTGGGCATACCCGAGCCTGTATACTGCATTTTGTATTATCTATAAGGTTGATAAGTTGACATAGTGGGCATTGTACATGAGGCTGGGGTGCCTTGTGATACTGGCAGAAAGTCAGTTCTATTTAGCTACAATCGGCGCAATTGGCGAGCTTGCCGTTTGGCTAGGGGTCTTGTTACGGTGGGACCCCGCCCTCCCCATGCAAGCCAATCACTACACCCATACGACCATCCCTAGTAGACTACTCGCACCGTACCGCAACATGTTGATATGGATTTAAACCCAAACTTCCAAGCGCGTGATGAACTGTCAAGACTAGTACCAGTTGGCCTAGCAGAGATCAATTGATTCTCTTTTGACTAGCTGTGTCCTAATCCGAAAGTCGACTACACCTCCACGCTATCTGCTCGTTGGCTCGGACCTTACATGTAAGGCCCTTTCATCCCTGACCCAATGTCATAACCAAATGTAACGTCTTACTTTGGACAAAAAGTCTAGCCTTACACGGCGCAATCCCATGCTCGTCGATTAACTGTACTAACTCTCCACCACCAATCCTGCCACCCCTCCACCTCCTCAGGAAAGTCCTAGTTCTCATTGTTACAAATCGGTCATATTGCTCCTACAGTCTTTGCTGACAAGCCAACCTGGCTCAGAGTAACAACTAGTACGTTCTACATGGTCAAGGCTGGAATGGCAATAAAATCACCCTTAAGCTAAAATAACTTGACCATAGCACTAGTGCCAGGCCTGGGCATCTAAATGGACTTTAAGCCTCGTACTCCTAGAAGAAGCCCCGGCGTCCCCCCCCTACCCCCCCCCACCCCCCCCCCCCCCCACCCACCACGTGGTTTTTTGTGACCAGACAGAGAGTCAGGTACCCTCATTGTACACAATACGGTCACATTGGAAGCTCTGCAGTTCCGGATCTCCCTGAAAAACTGTGAGGTTTCAGTGTGTCACTGGGAATGGCACGACTAATCAGAGAGGCCAAAAGTAATTAGGGAGGTTGTACCGACCAGAACCTAGAAGTAAAATAAGAGGGATATTTAGAACTCTTTGAAGAAAGATCGTTCACAATGAGACATTGTGTGATTAAAGCTGGAGCGAGAAGTCCAGTCTTCTCATTCTCGTGAAAGATACAAGGACCGGTCCTATTGCATGCTTTTGCCGTTATTGGACTAAGTTAACTGATCTGCACGTCTGTGGCTTGGTAGCTCTGGAAGCTGCCACTTCCAGTCTACCTTCCTAGCACTAGGCTAACTCTAGCTAACACGCCATACCCCTGGCGTGTAAATGGTCATTAAGATACACTCTAATTGAAGTCGGATACTAAGATAACGTTGATGCCTGTGTGCCAATTGCAGCAGATAATGGCTAGTTGTATTGTACACGCAATCGTAGTCATCATACTTGCAGCTTGCGATCTATTTGTCTGTACTAGTGAGAGAAAAAAATCTTGTAGGACCTTCCCTGTAGGTCAACTGTGAGTATGTGTCACTGAATGGCACCCGCAAAACTAATATTTACCGGTTAGCTTGTGGCCTCGTATAATGGCAACCTGCATAATCCGATTCCTCGACCTCTTGCCTCGAGAACGTTACAATCAGAGTACCGATTCTGTTGGCTCCGGTCTGAGTAACGATTGTAACGGTGTCGCGCTTGTGCCGCAAGGCCCGTATTTCTGTGTCCCTGGCAAGTGTTCTGTACATTCTTTGGTTCCATCCATGGTAACATATACTGAGAAAAGTATTTTGTCTGTCCCTGAGTATAACAAGTTCTGTTTTGTCCTGTCCCTAATGCTATTTCAATTCTGTGGCGCCCTACTATGTAAATTTCTGTGGGTCCCAGTAGAGCTATAACTGGCTTTGAGCTCCTGTGCTGGCGCGACAACACGCAAAAAAAGTACAAATATCATTCAGTAAAGAGGTCCACTCATTATAGACAATTCCTACATGTGATCTGTGATCCATAAAGTTAAGTACTACTAGGATGGTGGCGCCCAGCCCTGATGACAGCCTATAGTGTTCTGATCCGGGCACCTAAGTAAGCGTTTTTGTGGAGCCTACGAGTAACGATTCTGTGGCCGGCGTCCTCTAGGTAACAATTCTCTGCGTACCTCCACTGTCCAGTAACAATTCTGATGTCTCATGGTCCACTCCTCCTGACTTAACAATTTGCTGTGTCCCTAAGTGAACGTTTCTGTGGGGGCCCTTAAAACTAACGAGTTCGTGTGGGCCACTACCCAGGAACGTTTGATCGTGGCCTGCCCGGTCCCCCTATGACGAGTAACGTTTTCTGTGGCCGGCTCAGCTCATAACAAATCTGGTGGTCCGCTCAGTATGAGCATTCTGTGGAGTCTCACCGTCCCCCTACCTCGTCTACCAATATCGTATGTGACCGCCATAGCCTACTATAGGCAGTAAACGTTGTTCTCGGTAGGGGCCTCCCTACAAAGAGTAACGCCCGCTTCTGATGGGCCCCTTATGCTACACATGAGTTCTGTTGTCCCTGCTCGAATACCACTATTACTGTGGTCCCTTGTCCCTAGACGTCCCCTAGAGTTAGACAATTCGCTGGTCTAGGCGCTCTAACCGGTATACGACTGGTTATGTGTATACTCTAGCCTCTTCAGATAACTGACAATACTGTCAAGATCTGACGCTCTAGACTACAATATCTGTTTCTGTCGCTATGCTAGTGTTAAACAATATACCTATGCCTGGAAAGTCTAGTCTTTAACTAAGGCTCTTACTGAAAGATAACGTCTTATCTGTGTCGGGCGTTGGTTCGTATAGTTAATGGATTCGTCCGAGGACTGTGGCGCTACGAGGTTCAGATCAATTCGTGCTAATGACCGATTCTTAATTATCAGTAACTAATTACTGATATTACATGTCACAATCTGCAATTTATTACAATAGCATGTGAATGCGTCAAAAAGTGTAGACAATATACATTTAAGAAGAATACTGTCTCTGTAAAGGCAACACGATTTCATGGTGGAGTGCTCCATAAGGTAACGTCCCTTCTTACTTGTCTCAGGGGCCCTAAGTTAACGTATGGTAGCTTGAGTGGCCCTAAGGTGAACGTATTCTGATGGCCCTCTTGTAGAACTAGGTTTATCGAATGCTGTTAGTAGGATCTCCGTCTGTGATAAACGAATTCTAAGTAAGCCTGTTCTGGGCACTCGCAGCTAAGTAACAATTCTGTTGGCCCTATCATATGTCTAATGTGTTTCTGATTTGGGCCCCCTAAAGTAACGATTCTGAGTCAAAAGGCGCAAAACACGTCAGTATAGCTACTTGTAGTCATAGTCAGATCCTATATCTCAAAGACACTACTAATTCTGGTTGTCTAGCATCCTCTTTAGCTGTGAACATCCATTCTCGTCAGAGCACACTAAAAGTATTGATGATTATATATGCGCTCAGCTTGAGGTACCGAAGTGGTAACGGGATCGCCAATATACTGTGGACGAACT